AACATTATTTCGAAATTATCCTTTTTTGGTAGTGTTGTCGGCGAAATGATTGTCGGCGAAATGATTGTCGGTGAAATCTTACGTCGGTGAAATGATTTTCGGCGTTATGATCGTCTCCCCATCCGGGGGTACAATTTTTATAGAAACAATGCGTCGGGAGAGCTGGCTAAAATTGACATGTGAGATTTCGGAAGAAATCACAATTAAATTCGTTGATTATTGTTGACAGACAGCGAAACCCTGTTGTCGCATCCCGCAGCTCCAATACCACATCACCGGTTATTTGGATCAAGGGTAAGTCGTATTACGTTCAGTGCCTTTCCTGTTCGTGCTTATTATTAGGGAAACTAAGAAAAGTTGAACTTTGACTGCGAACAACCGCTCAAAAGATTAAGATGTTTTATCTTTGTCGATAATTTTTGTTTTTCTCTCCTTTCTTTTTTTTTTCCCTGCAATATTACGCAGTAACGGTATTTATGCGCAATAAGATACAACATTTCGCTGGATGGAGAAGCGTTTTCAAGATGGATTGATTTACTTTCAAGAAATGCAAAAGATGTGAACAATCTCATGATTAAAAAGTTCACTCAAGGTAAATGTTTATGCCTTACTTTCTCAATATAATGACATCTTTTAACGTTCTGTCTTCCGTCGCCGATAAGATGCGAATGTTCATTGTTATGGTTATGGTTACCGTCTAATATTCAGCCTGATTTTGCCATATAATGCACTGTGATCGACGGATACTTTAAATTTAATTCTCTACCATCACAGAGTGATAAATGAGATGACGTGGTATGTCGGACTTAATCACAATCAATACAGCGTTGATCACATATAAGATTTTTATTCAAGATATGATGAAGCATAATTCGTCCGGATATTTCTCCCTTTATTATTGCGTTTCTCTACGTCCCGTTGATTTGACAGTGTTCGTATGAGATTTCATTTTTCAGAATAATTTGAGAGAAATACATATGAGAGATTTGAAGGTAGGATGTTGGATACAATCTGTTAAGCCAGCTAACGTTGTAATCACAATCATTTAGTTCGAATGATATTTAAGAAGAAGATTAGAGACGTTAACGATTCACAGTTGGTACAAAAAATGGTACGAATAGATTCGGACGTTAGATCAAGAAGATTGACCTTCAATTCAGGGACTCGATAAAAAAACCGAAAGCTCAATTCACTGTCCCCGAACCTGAGAAAATGCAAGATACGACAGTTTTACTTGGAAAGAGCAGCAAGAAGTCAGAAAATAGGAGGAGGGCAAGGAAAGTCGGAGAATAGCGAAGGGCAAAGAACAAGCAGAATAAGCGTAAACCGATTGTCATCGAGAAAATCTTCAAGCGAATGAACAACGTGCAATAGTCAGCGTCACCCACCACCATTCCAGTCGTGTTAAAGTTTTATCATATATTGCTTTATTATTGCTTGGAAAAGGTCTGTACGAAACTTGGAGCCTAACGTGATATATGACGCCATTTCAGCATAAATTTATACGCAATAAACTTTAATTCATGTTCATTGCAGATTGAGCCAGAACATAGAGTAAGTATGTATATATTACATGCTAATATTATATATCAAAATACAATTCACGTATTATGGTTTTAAATATAAATTAATATAATAATAATGCTTATAATTGTGATAATAAGGGATGGATCGGGTTCTCAACGCATAAAGCGAGGTCTCCGTGTGTTACCATCAACAATGTTGTCATAATTAAGTTAGATAAACATTCGTGCGTAATAGAACAACAAACCTATTTGTAGTGGATTGTTTGCGACTCGGAGACTTGGACGAATGGTACTCTATTTTAATATTCTTGCTTGTTAGAAATAAATATCTGATAAATAATTTTTTTCTTCGTCTTCTCTTATTTGGACACATTACAGACGTGGTAAACAAGCGCACAGTACCGACTTATCCTAAATGGATTGAGGGTTTTAAATTTTGTATTTTGCAATTATCACTTTATCTGTTATTATAATGTGTAACAATGAATCTGCCGAATATTACCATATTTGTATGTATTCTATGCATCCACACGTAAACAACGAATTTTGTTATTCCATTATTGATAGTCACTAGACCAAAACCGATTAGACGCCAGTTACAGGTAGGGTATCACAAAATCCATATTCTCACAATGTATTACACATAATTTTTATTCACACCACAACACTGTTGCGAAGACCTCACGCATGCAGCCTGGCAACCGTGACAAAAGCCTGCTGTAGAAATGTCTATCATTGTTGGGAACTCGTAATTTTGAATGATAGAATAATATTCGGCGCAGTCCACAAAAGTAACAAGAAGAAAGACACCGAACTGGAGTCAAATACTGCGGCTTGACGTAGTGTCTAACTAAGTATGAAGACCAATAATATCAGTGTTTTGGTATTATCTGACTTTACTTTCTTTATCAACAAAATCTGCATGCATGAGGGTAATACGCGTGCATACCTTTTAAGACTTAATTATAATGTAACACTAACAATACAAACATCGCCAAGCCCATTCGTGGCCGGTCATAAACCTCGTTGTCTATCCGTCAATGACAAAGCGGATATTTTTACTGCTTATACACATGCAAACTCGATAGTCGGTCATGCATAGTTTGGACCGAGCTTGCATGTGTATTAGAAAGAAAGGCATTCTACGAAGAAAGAAGCAGGCAATCCAAGCCACTGAAAATCGGCAAATCTCAATCGTTAATAGGCATGCTGTTATGCACATTCCAAACGATAACATTAATCGAACCAACAGTAATTGCAAGATTTCGTAAACGAGATTATCCTGTGGGGGCGAGATGTTACTTGTCTAGTCCATAGCTTTCGTTCGCTTATCTTTTTTTCTTTTTTTCTTTTTTTCTTCTTTCTTTCTTTCTTTCTTTTTTTTTGTTGATGAAAAAAATTTTTCGGAGATATCGGAATTATCCGAAGGTTTGTTCATATATACGTATGTACAATGAAATTTTCTATTGATTTCTAATATATTTTGTTTCTATTGTATTTATGTCTATTTGGCTAACATATTTTACAATTCGGACCCTATCACTACTTTTTGAATTTAACGTATTAGTGCGGTAAAAATCAAATTATGACCGAATATACATCAATCGTTGTTACCGCCATAATCATCCTACAGTACAAGTCTTTCTTCACAACATTCTCGGCTAGCGTTCTGAATGGCGCCCGACCTTTTTTTTTCTCTAAAATTCCTATCAATATCAGATAGCACAAACTATTTTAGATGCAGGAGGTTGATGGCTATTTACGTTCCACATTCATGTATTGAAAAGCGGCTATGATAACGGTTAAAAAGTTTTCATTATTCCGAGGAGCGTTAATGTGCAATCACATACAGATAGACAATGTTCCATGTCGCCTGATTATTACTGCGACAATAGGAATTATTGAGACGATTAGGGCATCTGCAAAAAAAAAGATGATGAAAATAAAAAAGCGACGGTCTGCATGTGAAATCTATACATAAAATAAAATAAATAATACCATTTCGTGGCGCATGCGTTATTCCAAGTACTTTTTTCGCGTATATGTAAGCGATAATCATAATGAAAGAATTGGTATCCCAACCTTACTATATTTGTGTAATTTGTTCGAATAATATGTCTATTATTCCGCCAGTGATAAAGGTGGCGTTTATTCAATAAAGAATGCGATATATCACACCTGGCTGTTTAAAATTTATTATTCACATGTAATATTACATATATACTAGCCGGTCAATTGTCGTATACATAATTGCGCGTATCGGGTCACAACATGAGAATTTTTGGCTAAAATTATTACATCAACAATAATAGTTGCACGTGCTATTTTGTTATCTAATAACGGCACGTTACACAATGAATTGACGACATTTTGTGGCATTAAACAAAATTACACGATAATTTATATATATAAGGTGCCCGGTACACTGTTCCGAGGGCATCGTTAGGCCTGAGGCTCTTGTCACCCACCCCCCATATTTAAACTTGACGACATTGAGCCATTTGCCAAGAAGAAACTCACTCCCAATCCATTTCAAGAAAATATATTTTTGAATTTATTATCAATCTGTTAGACACTTGAACGGATGACATAAAAAGAAACAGTATATACTAAATGAAAAACGACAAGCTTGCCGAAGTTAAACACTTCCGAAGAAAAAGAAACATTCGCGATAGCGAAGATATATTTTCGAAAGCATCAAAAAGACATCCACCAAGTGCCTCGGCGCCCGATATCGGAATAACATCAAGCGCACACCGGATATTCTGAACACAAGCAGTTTCAATTGCTGAAGGTTAATCAAGTTCACGACACCCTGCGGTAGACCGTCCGATATGAAAATAATCAACAAGACGAACGCCGAAAAATATATAATCGAAGAGTTACGACATTTCCGAAGGATCGACAAAGGAATAGAGTTTCCTTCACGGAATAATAGAATGCGATAGAAACTTTCCGTAATAAAGGTAGTCATAATGGGTAGTTAACATAGAGTAGTCGGGAATAAAAAAAAAACTTAAGTTTGTTCATAGTCTTATTGATATAATGGAGAAAGGTAATAATATTTCTTTGGCATCTTTTAAACAATATTAAAAAAGTTTCATCCAATTAATTCCGCTTTTTGTGAGAGAAATTGTCCCTACCTAGTAAAAAAAATATGAAAGAACAGAGAAAGTGAAAAAGAAAAACAGGGAAGTTCATTTGAAAAGACACTGTCGGCATATTATTCACTAATACGGGTATGAATCAACGAACATAGACAGTTGATCACCATTTTGTATAGTGTTTACGCGAGGGTCGTCTGTCCTAGAATTCAATCCGTTTTTAACCATTTGTGGACTGCCGGCCCCTACTGATTGAACTTTAAGCATAGAGTTTAATGACATTTCCATTGTCGGTGTTAATCCGTTTCCGATTTGGATCTGTGATCGGTCTACCAAATTCGAATGAAGTAGTTTGGAAGTCGTTGGTGAAGCGGAGGATATCGTAGAAGGTATTGGTGGCGTTTTCTTCGGCGGACTAAGTGGAGGAAGCGAAGTTTCTGACTTAGGTGAAGATGATATCGAAGTAGCTTGGGTTCCAGTACGTGCATCACGATCTTGTTTCGCTTGTTTATTTTGTATCTGAACCCAGCGTGTTCGACATTGACGCTTTATTTGAATAATGCAATAGATTTACAAATGAATAATAGCGCATGCAAGGAAATATGCAAACTATATATACAAGAATATTTGCTGGAAGTGTAGTCCTTTCGCCGACAAATTTGACGGACCTATTATGGTTAACGCTTTGCCAAGTTGATTGTCGGCAGAATACACCAAATCGTTCGTGACTAGTATTTCATTACATTACCTGTGTCCTTCCGTTAATCATTTCTGCAATTCTTATCCAACATCTACCGAACCTCTTGACGCCCTCTTTAAGGATGTCATCTTCGTCTGACGACCATTTACCCTTCCTAACTCGGGGATCAAGTGCTTCCGACCACCTTGCTTGACATTGAATACCAGTCCGATGAGGGATTCGAGTCGCGATTTTGTTCCACGGAATCGGCTGCGGATTTCCATCAGCATCTAGAGCATGTATGTATTCGGCCACTGCTTCTTTAAGTGCGGCGTCTTCTTCTGGCGTCCATCTGCCTTTGTGAATTGTCGGATTTAATGCGCCCAACCATCTGGTCGAACATTGCATTGGTGTGCGATTGGGGACGTGAGCTGCAATTAGGGACCATTTATGCGGTCCATACATAGTAATTGCTGCTCTAAGCAATTCGTCCTCCTCTTCAGTCCATTTGGTATATACGGGTGGCTTTTGACTAACTGGATTTGGAGATGCTGGACCGGGGGAGGCAGCGGATGATGGTGTCGGCGCCTGACGGAAATCCTGGTCAACACGTTCTGCGTAATCGTTCACCTGTTTAAGAGGCTGCCATTAAAACCGGGCAAGGTATATGCGGTATGCAATACTTATCAGCATGCTAAAACCGAGAATTTGACTCACCATTGAAACATTTGTAGTACCGAGATCTTCAAATTTTACTTGATATCCGACCAAAGGTGGCATGTGATCGAATGCCTGAGACATTCTGTTTACATCATCGGGTATGAAACGAAGTTGATAGACATCGTCCTTCGTTTCCATCTGTAAGACAGCATTCGGGAATACGTTATCGGATGAGGAAATATACATGAGATAAAGAATTTCTAGACAATTCGCTGCTTACCTGCCAATTACTCGAACAATCAAGCTGAAACGGACAGAATCGTTGGTGAGTCATTCGATACTAGTAAGAGCGACGCGGAGTTTATTACTACTTATACATACCATTGTTTGCGTGTTTTCTGCTGCAGATCTTGACATCAGCGAACAATCTCCTTCGGGCAACTGCACATAGAACGGTAAATTGGGTGAGGTGACTCATGAGTATAAATCGCGAATATAATTTGGGCATAAATGTCCTTACCGAAGATTGTTGCGGTACGAAAATTGGTTGCACTAACTGTATTGTAACGAAACGAATTAGAAAATGCCTTTCGCACAGGTATTTTGACTATATTATGAATGAACATATGTGTGTTATCATACTTACATCATTTCTCTCCAAACTTTGATTTGGCACCTGCAGGCGAGAGTAACAAAGTACAGTAGTACCATCGAAAGATGACGAAACAATGCCATTCATGGGTAATAGGATCAGAGACATCGGCGATCAAAGAGAGAATATTGGACGAGGACGTGAATAAAGATTAAAAAATGCGCAAGTATAATGACGTTATTCTTAAGACATACTTGATATAAACCGTAGTTATTATTCATTAGGTACGGATAATTGAGCGGTATCCCAATATCTGCAATTTGTGGATTATAGACAGAACCAACGGACTGATTATTCGAAGTGGGGTAAGTAGCCTCCATGTTGGAAAGGTTGTTTGAATGAATATTCTTAAAAGCAAGATTGTTCGAGTGAACATCAAAATGACCATCCGTTGGAGTAATTGGAGAGGTAGACGAGTTTGGAGGGCCTACTGAAAAGAAACACAGTATGTCTACCGAGTCAGTCATGCACCGGATACAGGTTTTCCACTAAATGTGAAGAACGACCAACTGAAATGCTTTATCTTGGCGAGAAGGTTTTACCTGGAAGAATATCGACAAATATATTGTTATGTATGGACATGAGGGGGGTTTTTTAAGTGAGAATTATAGGCAAGTGTCTTTGAAATCAAACGTTGGAGAAAAGAGTTTGATGCGTGAGTAACGATTGGATTAGAGTTGATTTTAAATTTAACTTGGTCAAGTTTATATAATTTACTAAAACATATGTTGCGTAAACGAGCGATGGTTTATCTTTCGTTAATTTCCGTAAAAGGGGAGTAGGGACTGGATCTTAGGAATTGGATCAGTCGTTCCGAGTAGAGACATAACAATAATCCCGATGCTTTTGCTACGAGGAGAGAAATTATAGTCTTATATATAGATATACTACATGCAAAAGATAATATTGATAGTAAAACTTTAATATATAAAATTTACAATATAGATTTAATTTTTTTTTATATATTCACCATTATCAAAGCGCACGAACCAAAATGGATTGATCTAGATTGACCAGTGTATATAGGCGATGTTGTGGCACCGTAGCAATCCGATACTGAACTGTTATAGAGATTGTTGTAAATACTCCATTTCTTAGTAAGACTAGTGCAGATAAGGAACGCTGATTACGCCATCGTTAGTAGTCAATATCAATTAGTCTTGATGACGGGGCTGAGATAATATCAGGCAGAACAGACAAAAGCGTCAACTGACGTACAGTCAGCTCTTAGAGTTCCCACAATTGCATAGTCAAGTGACACAAAGTTTCCTACATTATCTATCCTGTGATCGGCCAATCATATGTTCAGTGATAATCAAGGTATCGACTATTATTGCACATGCACAATGACAGCATGTTCGACCAAGGAGGGGCACTTAGCACAGCCAAACAACGACCTCCATTATTCTTATAGCATATTACATCATTTATCTTGAAATGTAAGGGCGCAAGGAAGTTGTGTATTCTTTTTACCCGAGGGTTGTTGTGATCGACCATTGATGTTTTAACGAGAACTCGTATTTACGTACCTGTTTTATGCAGATTTTCACTGATTCTCCGTAGAGAATACTTAATGACATAAGGTCATTGGCTAAATCAAAGAACATGACATATAAATTGCGAACAACAAGCGGGGGTAACGGTATGGGTACGTTATTGAGATTGCTTATTTCCGTTATTAGAGCTTTTGTCGAGGTTGTTAGCTTACCTGTATGTTTATTCGAAAGATGTCAATCAATTAATTCACATACAATATGCACGTTGATGCGCTTATTCTTTCAAAAACCATTGATGTCAATTCGACTGATTACATGATTCCGAGTCAGGATATTCCCCAATTTAGGTTTGTGCACAAAAAGAACGCCGAAACTTGGGGGGGATTGAGACAACTGATTAGAACTGACTGTAACATACTCGATATCGATGCAAAGAGGGATGATAGTAATTTATTTATTTTTTTTTTTCAGTAACAAAGATCGGCCTTAATGGTTAGGTTACTTATATCATATGCTAGAATGCATGCTGGTAAAATTTTTTCTCAAGCTTACATATGAAACTGTAAATCGCCCCTATTTTATCATCAGGAACAAAGTTACCCGTTCTAAGCGTCATCGGTTTTTTCATTTTCTTCTATCATGGAGCAACAAAAATTCTCAGATAGCGTGCTGTGAAATTTATGTGCTATGCTCTGGTCTCTTTGGTTCATATATATTGGGTTTTCTTATGCTGCGCAATTTCTCTGGTGCTTCTGTTTTTTCAATCTTTTTTTTTATTTACATTTGTGGCTCTTCCATGATCCGTATCAAGATAATCAAGATACTCACCTTGTGTTTAATCCACAAAAATGTCTGCATTCGCAGTATGGTTGCATAGAATAAACACGCATATGGTATTGTAACACGCCGTCACACATACACAATTAAGTGAGAACGGAACCCATTGTTAAAGCCAATTGCAAACGGAAGTTATAAATTGTCAATAATTATACTGTAAATAAAAACGGTCGCAATATTTCCATTTATGCCAAGCTGGTGAAATGGGCTAAACCACAGATGTTAACTTGACATCTTACAGGGTAAACATTAAATCAGCCCCATCCAACTGCAATCTGCAGACACAGCATTTTTATTTTATTTGACCTTCATATATTAGTTTGTATCTTTGAGTTGTGACCCGAGTCTAACTCATTTACAAACAAAAATCTAGGTTGCGTGAGAAAACTATCCCCCTTGCGTACTAGCATTTTTAGTAAACGACATTTTTATGAAGTTATATTTCCGCTATTGGAATTATGGGTGTTAATCATGCACAAAGAAACTCAGGTCAGCCTATCCTAACATGTTAATACAATGAGCTAAAAATACGCAAAAGTTAACTATAAATAAACCTTAACTGAATTCCTAAGCATTAGAATGTGGGAAGCACCTGTGTTTGAAATTCAGGTTGGTTTTGTCTCTTTCGATAATATGTTGGCAGGCAATCATGTACGTTAGCTGTGAACGAAAAGAATTTCACAGAGTAGATTGTGGCAAAACCACAAGATTCATATAAAATGTATCACACAAAGTGCTGAGCCGACGTTTATAGCGAGTATGTGATACCCGCTTAGTGCTCGATCACGAGCATTTGTTTGCTAATGGTTGATTGGGTAATCGTTAAAGTCAAAACCTTGTGCGCTGGTCTCCCAAACTTCCATCCAATTACAGCATCGTAGATCTCGCAACATAATCGGTACAAGAAAACCGGTCCCGATTATACGCTTGAATACAATCAGAATCTTCGAAAAGTCATAATGAAACTTACTTCGGTTTCGGAATATCCGTCTTCGAATAGATGAGGTACGTTTATTGTGCTTCCTTATATAGCATATATAAATAGAGTGATTCCATTTTGCTCTCTTAAATTAATACCATTTGACTATAAAAAGCTCGAGACGCTACTTTAGATTGTACATAACTTGAGAAGCACAACAACGGACGATGCACATTCACTGTTGGTTGCCATAAGATATGTGTAAAACAAACTCGTCGACTTTTTTATTGATAAGACGACAGGCTTACTATTACTGCGTGACGTCAGCACATGCCTAATCGATCAATCACATATCGTGTTTTCTTGGACGGTAGTAATGTCACATGGTAACGACGTGCAAAACTATGTCAACAACCGAAAAAGAAAAGAGCAGAGCGTCTTTTTTCGAACCTTGGTCAACTCTATCTCATCACCATTATAAGTATGCTTTTTATGTTGACATATTCAAAATTAAACTACCATACTCTGGGTATTATACACTAGACGGTACTTTGATCGGAATCGCGATACCATACTAGGGAAGTAATTAAGACAGGAGTACTAATTGTCTTTTCATTGCTAAGTAGCATCGCTCATGGTGTACTCGCGAGTGAATATTTTTAGTGACGTTATCTTTGTATAAAAAACAGCAAATGACTTAATCACTGGGAAATCAGAACGAAGCATTAGTTAAATATCGATTACGTGTAACAAAAGTGATACCTTTACTTTGACTAGCGATAACTAGAGCAATCATTTATTTACCTTATAGAAAACCATACCCTGGGATTTGAAAGACGAGGACATACTATTTACTTGGCATGCAAGCTCCACAGGCTTGAAAACATCTTACCGTTTTCGCTTGTAAATTGAGAAAATTGGTTCTATAAATAATACTTTAAATATAAATTTAATATTAAATATAGCCTGTCATACACACCAAGAATGACACAAGCTGGGGACGGCTCCACGTACGGCTGGGTTTTTTTTCTGGCACGGGCCCTGCTACACATTAGCCCAAGCCCTGTATTTGGTTAGCGGCATCGTGAAAGCCCTGGAACTTTTGTTGCCAAGGAATAGATTAGTCTGTAATACAATTAAGCCTGAAATTAGGCTTACTAATCCGCGGCCTGCAGATTTAACAGTGATCGATGATGAATGATGACATGGGTAGAGCGAATTGAAATTGACGTCTAGTCGTCAACATGATGTAAATAAACGCTATATTTGTTTATTTTTGCAACAAAATGACTTCACATTGCACATTGACAAACCAAATATGTATTTGTGTTTATTAATGTTCAGGGGGTCAGTATGGCTTGAAGCTTGAAAGTTTAATTCAACCCGTTTGTATTGTCAGGCCACGGACCTGGTCAACGCGCTAAAATATCAATTAAGAATACTACAACTTTGTTGTTTCCATCAGCTCTCACATAATACAAACACATACAGAATAGGCTAAATTATGTTTCCAGAGTTTATGTTTCATAATTACCATAGTACTGCCAGATGGAGATATGTTTATCAACCAACGTGATAACTATTTTGTCATTTGTGCTGTAAACAGTCTTACATAGACATTAACGAGACGTATAGAGGTGCATATAGTGAGCCTAATGATGTATACCAACGAGTCCGTTACCCGAAGCCTCTTTTTGTGTAGGATGATATGACTTTTTTATCGTTAGTCTGAACCTCATACCATTAATAGAATTGAAACGCTGTATTTCATCTTCCCAATGTTATTAGGTTCAGGATTCCGAAAACTTTGCCGAGAAGAATTAGTTGAACATTGGCGTTGGAGATTAACTATGGTCTGAGAGAACATCTGCCTTTGGAGTAGTGTCAAACATTGAATTTAAACAGCTCTACAGATCCACTTCAGCTGTGCCAGGTTAATTTATATATTTCATAAAATTAGCCTTATCCCGTACGGCTAGCCTGGCAATAAAGTCGTAGTCTATCTGGGAATGTGTTCTATAATAAATACGCTCTAAATTACATAACTGAATACGTGACAAGAAGTCAATTTATCAGTTTTATGTTACAATCAATGAGAAAAATCACTTTAAGCTGATTAACAAAATGACTCGCGTTACCAATAGAGGAAATTCATTACCAGACAAACTGGGAGTTGATTAAAGCCGTAGAATTCGATTCGGAAAGGTAGAAAGTTTACCATTCGTGACAATGAGTGTTTACGCGTACATACCAATTAAAAGGATCGCATAATCGTGTTTGCTACTTTTAGTAAACGAATTGAGTTGTTGGGAAGTTGAATTAGACTATGTGATTTTTTCGGCGCCAGTTGTAGCTTGGCATATGCGGTGGCTATCTACGTTGGTTTTGACGCATAAACCAGTACATATTAGGATGGCACATGCATATCATTGTCTTTGACTTGTGTAAGTGCAAGACGTTTATGCAATTATTATATATTATACTGTTGTGGCAGTGTTTTGCCGCTCTAGCAGATAAACTTTTGAACAGACCCACAGCGACGCACAACCTATAAATAATTAGGTAATCTCAGTTAAGGTTAGGAACTAACTCATCTTTGCTGATTGAAACGTCACTGAAATTTCGGGTCACACGGTGCATTGGTTTTGCCAAACGAGTCAACCGGTCGGTCCATCACGCTGGTTACTTACTTATACCACTTTCTCAAATTCTTTTATTACACTTACACGCAATTTTTACTGATCTATTAGTAACATATATAAGTACTGTAACATACAAAATACTATAAATTTTGGAAGCCATTTTGTTTGCACTTGTCAGACATACTGTATGTTCAGTCCCTAAAGTTATCTGTGTTTCACCTACATTTTTTATAGGTATCCCTTTCCTTGCAGCAATTAATTAAATCTTACGTTAGTTTCTTTCCCCTTGAAAACTTGCTTAATGATATTGGTACAACAAATTAGCATCAAATGTGGCTCATTTCGATTTTGCAAACATGAGATAATCTACTCTTTTATCATACACTGACAGATATTTTATAGACTATACCAGATATGTATAACACTATTTTTTCCATGTGGGTTGACCTACGATTACGCTTAGTTTTTCGCGAATTTGATCCGCTTATCGACTGAGTTCCAAAGCCATTAATTCCTGCATCAAATAAGTCGTATAATGATAAATTGTCGTTTCGGACCTATTTCCGAATCTTGAAATGGGTCAACCACTTCAAACATACTCGATTGCATCACTTCATAACGTACAATGATACTCAAACAACCAAATTTATTTATGATATAAAAAATGTTTCTAATTAGTTTATCATTATGCTTATAAAACAGAGAGAGAGAGAGAAGCGATATTTGCCGAATACAATATACTGAACAATGCGAATTGCGATATTACGTATTGTGCAATGCTACATGCAACAACTAACTTGTTGGTAATGTAACTGTAATGATGTTATCAGCGAGTAATGATGAGCTCTGATTATGTGGACGGAATGTTCCATCAAACTCACGATATTTTCCATTATCCATCATTGTGCTTTTAGAATATCCAGTAATGTAATGGTTTCGGTTTTCCCTTTTGTATTTGAATACGCGTTTGTGTTGTGAATGTGGACATGCGTTCCAATTAACGGTCTGTAAAATACATATTAATATGTTCGTTGAAACTTTTTTTAATGTAATAATATTCTATCGTTGAAATGTTACAACCTCAATTGAGATTTTGTTCATAGCGCAAGTGACGGACACTTGTTAATATTGGGTGCTTAATTGTTTCGTTTTCGGTAATAAATCGGATATGATCAACCCAAATTTTATACAAAAATGTATGTTGGAGCAAGCACAGATAATAATCATGTTGACGAGCTCATTCAACGCGTATTTGCTTGGGCTTCGGTTAGCATAAGAGTTTGTTTAGATATGTTATCATAAATGATGAAAACGGAGATATTTGTTTGGCGATATATTTCTTGGTTATTGCAAATGCTCTCATTACACAATGTAACATACATTGACGTTGTGTTAAAGTGCTCATCGTGTTTGTTTATTAAGCAAAAATTGCGTTAAGCGTCAGGGTTGTAAACAAGGCTCAAATACGTCTGATTATCATGTTATTTTACAAAAACAAACGCATGAGACGCGTTTACGTGATTTACATAGTGACGGGATTACATACAATATATATATATGAACAAGTTATATACTTAATAATATATTAATATATATTAATCATATAAATAGATATGTGTATAATGGGAGACGATCATAACGCCGAAAATCATTTCACCGACGTAAGATTTCACCGACAATCATTTCACCGAAAATCATTTCGCCGAAAATCATTTCGCCGAAAATCATTTCGCCGACCGACAACACTACCAAAAAAGGATAATTTCGAAATAATGTTGGTGAATATGTCGGTGAAATGATTGTCGGTGAAATATTACGTCGGTGAAATAATTTTCGGTGAAATGATACGGACCCGTGTATAATACATTGTTAACTTGTCGCATTTCTTCTCGACTTTCCTATATTAATTTGTAATGTTGAGCGAGTTCTTAAGCGCAGAGACCATCGGGTCTGTTCTTGCACGCCTAACTCTTCTAATATCATTCTGCATCCATAATTCATAACGACAAATCGCTTCTTTTTTATAGAAAGAGTTAGTAAGTTCAGCTTTGGGTCTGCTTTTAGGTATAGTAATAGTCTTTATAACTAATATCACAATAAGCATTTTCTGTGCAATTTGTGTCCCAATGTTTATTTATAAATGATAATATCCATACTCATAACCACTTCCTATATAGAATATACCATGAATAACATATTGCTATGCTTATACCTACAGAATGGCCGAGATTACCTTCATATACACTCACTAGACAAAAGTTTGTCCCCAAAATTATTTTGCAAATTTTTCAAAATTGTACTAAATAAATAGTTGTAATTTATATATTATTTGAAAGCTCCAGTTTTCAAAATTAAAAACAAATTTGTCATTAAATTTATAAAATTGACGACCGATTTCAGCAAATAAATTTCTATTTTTTACTATTTTAATATCTAGTTGGCCAACCATTGTTAGCAATACATTCTTCTATCCTTTGAGGCATACTATCAACCAGCTTCAGATATTTTTCATGTGAAATCTGTTCCCATTCTTGTTTTAAAAAAAATTTCCAATTCTTCTAAATTTTTTAATGTTCAAGACGATTTTTTAAAATCTTTGACCAAGCACAAGTTCACCCCACAGGTGCTCAATAAGGTTAAGGTCTGTTGACTGAGAAGGCCAATCTTCAAGAAGAATAATCTTCTTCTCAGACAACCATTTTTTTACATTCTTTGCAGTGTGGACAGGAGCATATCTTCCATCTTTTGGAAAACAAAACAATTGATTATTGAAGTTTGTGATCTGCTTTAGAAATGATCATCAAATTAATGATGCATAATTATAATTATAATGTGATGTTAGTTTTTATTTTTAAATCATAATAAAAATTTTGCAAAATTAATTTTAACATTATTGCAGTTTTCAAAATTGTAGATCACCCATAAAAACAATGAATACAAATACAAATACAAATACAACAGTAAACCAATAGGATTATCTGATGGTGTGATCTTTCATCCTCATCAACGAATATTAGCTGCTCTGCAGAATACTCCACAACAACAGCTGTGAAAACACTTTGAAATATTTTATTTCGTGCTGTTGCTGCTTTACTAAGCTAATTTGAAAAGACTAGTTGCCCATCAAAACTTGATGAATCAGGCCTTATTATAGAAATCTTCTTCCTTGTTATTCTGCAAAATTTTAATAAAGTGGGTATGGAAACAGTCTTCCCAGTAAGTCTTCTCATCTCTGAAACCAACTCATCTAAATACCAATACACCTTCTGTTTAACCAAAGACTTGAAAACCTTTAAGAAAAATTATTATTATAATAATAATGTTCAATTGACTAGCAACAAAATAAAAAGCTGATTTACATACTTCCATATCATCTGCATCAAACAACTTTCTTCTTCCCCTAGTACTAGAGCCTATAAAAGGATCCTTGGCACAACCCCACTTCCTATATGTTTTCAAGACCCTTCCAACAGTAGCCTGAGAAATATGTAAGAGACTTCTTATCTTCTTGTTTGAATCCCCATCATTCCTGTCAACTAAATGGAAAAATCCGTGTGACCAACCACATTTTACGGAAAGGTCTCGACTCATCTTTGTTTATTATGAATGTTGTAGTCTTGTTGAGAAAGATATTTTTTTACATGCTCGTCGAGCTTTCAGAGCATTGCTGAGAACGGAATCTTTATCATCTCCATTTTTTATAGTTATGGATACACTCTCACGGATTTCTAATTTTTCTCTGACAAAACATTATAATTATGAACCCTCAACACGTGCTTCAATTATCAATCTCACAGATGCGACTCTTTCCACCATATTATCTTCTTGACTTTGTTGACATTTTTGTTCTCCAAGAACCTTAGTACTTAGGCGAGTTTGCAAAACCTGATCATAATCACTGGATGCTTTATGGGTGCCCACTGTGGGGAGCTTTAGTACAGTAACAGGCACAACAAACCAAAGAAGATCTTAAAAATAAATACCCACTGTTGGATATTTTGCTAATGACTGCTGGTAAACTCATTGGTGGGGTTGACTTCGTAATTGGTTTTCGAATTATAAGATAAGAAACGAAAGAGTTACACCCTTGGTTGCTATTGCTGTATTGGGTCAGAGAGTTGTGCTCAACATAATTCCGCAGTAGCAGTCAGAAATTGCAATGGAATTAGTAGCAAGTGTTATGCGAGTTTGTCTACATATTACAGAAGATCGTGGAACTATTCTATCAACATACTTGTCTGAGCCCACTTTAACTGAGGCTGCCGCATATATCATGAACATTGACAATGGGTTACTTGTACCAGATCTGCTGACTATGTTAATCAATAGTATCAAAGAAGGAGTTGCAGAGGCCAGTTATTGTGGTGAACTGTAGTACGTTTTCTCTTACTTTTGGCATATGACTGTGCTTGTAGTCAATGTGTAACAACTGCATCATATTTTCCTGGCTATTATTCACAAGGCATCAATGTGCAATGATTCTTGCAGGCTTTACTGGATTATAAGACTTTTGACCTAATTGCAACAGATATTTCCACCAGTAAACCCAATGCACTAGCACCACTAGGTGAAGGTTATATACGGTTCAATCACTTTGTTTCAATAACCTACACACCTTCAAGAAAGCAATTGTTGAAATTCTTAGAACGAGGAGCTGCTGTATTATGCAAACATAGCCAATGTGGTGTAGACATTATCATACCAGTGTTACTAGACCCTGAAGGAAAGATGAATATCAATAATGTAACCTACATCCTTGTGCAAGTCAAAAACTGGAGACATACACCATCACAACATCAAGTCCAAGAATGAAACTCTCGCCTGAATTTGCTGGGATTACCAATAAGAAATGCACAGCACATATTGCAGAAGATATTGGTATTTTACCAGAAGTTGACCAACTGTGTAAATTAGTTTTGTCAGAACCCACTTTATTGAAACGCCCAGCTGACAATGCAGAAATTCCCTTGAAAAAAGTCAAAATTGGCAGAACAAAACGTAATCCATCAGATACATCAGTTTCTTCTGCAATACGTCAGACTTTCCAAGTGTCATTAGCTGTTTATGGTCTTGGAAAAGAGGTGTATGCTTGTTTCAATTTCACAGCCATTGGGACCCAAACACAGGTTTTAATGTCTTTGAGAAAGCTCTTGGTTGCCTGGCCTGATGCAGCTGAGCTTGAGGATGATAGTAAACGTGTACAACGTATTACGTATTAGTATGCAACCATTAGTATATGCAATCAATAATAGTGACAATAGTGTTTTGTAGCTGTTATTATGATAAGAAACTCTTATGCATGTCTTCACAATTAAAGATGAGATTATATTTGCAATATTCTGATATCAAAATTAATTCTGAGTATGACTTCTGGAACAGTATTTTGAGATTTTGGAGTGATAAATGGTTCAGTTAACCACTTACTCATTTAGATAAGAAAATTGAAAATACTAATACTAATCCAAAGACATATTTACAAAGTCATAAAATTATACATATAGGATTACCCGTATATGGAAAGTTACAATTATAATGGTTCGACTGAATATGAAAAGCCATGCGCTTCTTGGAGATAGGCTGCAATTGTGGTTGTTATCAAAAGATTCCGAGAGAAAAGTACGTGAAGCGTTTCAAGCTCTCTCTAGATCTGAACAAGATATATTTTTAATGGCCCAACTGAAAGCAATGAATGGTGGCGAAATAACTGCCAGTCGGCGTCTTAAAAGGAAAACGCGTACTAATAAGCGAACGTTTTACTTTTGAGATCACAATACGCCGCTCTGTCAGAAAACGTATCTAAATATGTTAGGAATTGGTCGCACGCACTTCGAAAACATTAGAAATCACTTGGCGACGAATGGTATAATACCGCGCGTTCATGGCAATGTAAAGAAAGTGCCGCGATGGAAAACCAAAATAACTATTGATATAATCGTTGCTACCGCCGTAAAGAATTTTCTCGAAAACTATGTGGAAATTCATGGACTACCAAGTCCTGGTAGAAATGTCAATCGCATTACGCAATTGCTTACACTATTGCCAGCTGAAACAAGTTATAAATCAGTTTATCATGATTTTATTGCAGGTCTTGAAAACGATAGCACGTTGAAATTGTTAAAGTATGACGCATTTCGCAAGTTATGGCACCAATTAACGCCTTATATTCAAATAATGAATCCAAGAACAGATTTATGTGACACATGCCAACATTTCCGGAATGGCTTACAGTATAACGCTCGTAAAGAAGAAGAAGCGAAAGATTTATTGAAAAAATTTAAAGAACATCTAATTAAAGCTAAGTTAGAAAGAAATTATTACAGCAAAAATACGAAATTAGCAGAACAACAGAGGAAATTAGTAGACGAGAATTATCTTGTGACGGAAGGTAAAGCCAATTTTTGTAGTATTGATGCGACTGCTCATTACAGTTACGATTGAGCACAAAACGTTCACGTTCCCCACTCCGATGTAGTTCCGTGTGGTGTATTTGCGGTCGTAAACAATTATCTGATGGATGGACTAGCAACAATAAGCAACTCGATGAGTTTATAAAGAAATCTCAATTACAAACAAACTCAGCAAATCATAATGGATTCCGTTTGATAGTATTCGTGATGAGGGAAGTGGATACGGCCGCTTGTATGGTCTACCTATTACTGAGAATTATTATGTAACGGTTACATTGACTTTGCTCGAAGCAACAGAAGAGGCAGATGATTTATATGATGACAAGGTAAAGCCTATTCAATCATTAATTACGCATCAAGTTTATTGAATGGTGTAATAGTAAATAATTATTGATATATTGTTTCCACTAGTTATGTGATGAGCATCCCGATATTCTAATCAATAATGTTTGGATTACCATCGGATTTACATACGACGCAAGAAATATTATCTAATTAATCATGAGGATGGATTATGTCTTCTGGCGTGTGCACGTCAATTAGCAACCGAGGTAAATGCATTCTGTTATTGGTGTAAAGCGCCAAGAAATCTAGAGTCGTGGAATAATGTGATGAAATACGATGCCTATATACAATATGGGGCAGACTGCAACAAAACCAGACAAAGTGAACATTCTGTTTTGTGAGGCTGATTATGATGTGGCTGTAAAATTGACCAGTGTG